CCCCAAAACCCCAAAACCCCAAAACCCCATCTTCATAATTTTATGAAAATATAGTAAATTTGATTTTAAATTAGTTAAATAAAATTACAAACAATAGTATTATAATTGCCTTAGTTATTTTTATGTTAAAAAATTCTTTGATCATTTATTAATCAATACACTAATCTATTCGAATTGTTGATCGGTGGGAGACTCTATACTTAGTTTTATCTTTAAGATCCCTCCCATCCCTCGATTTATTGATCTCTTGAATTATTTAACTATTAAACATCTAGACTGCTATTTTAAAGTTAGGGTCCTAGCTCATTATCTTAGTATTCTTATATTGCTGGTATATGATTATTATTCTAACTATTTTGAATTTACTAATCTTATCCAGCAGCCACTTGCTATATTTAAGCACTTTAATTATGATTGTTTATATGCTGATTAAGAATTTAGGCATCAACCTCTATCATTACAAAGTCTTCCCCTTGAAAGTTCTACTCATCGAAATTATTTTGTCTGTTCTCAACTTGCATCTATCGCTAGTTAATAATTTACTCAAATCTCTGATACTAATTTGATTCTGGACTAATTGAATAACTCAACTGATGAAATCTTTGCAACATGAAAGAATATCCTACACCTATAGCTGGAAATAGCATAAATAGCAAATTTGCAAGCTTAAATACAGAAGCACTTGGCTAGTTATCACCCAGACCAATGATTGCGTAGAAGAATGCCCACTTCATTACCTTCAATGCTGTGTAAGGCAGTTTCTCTTGTCTCTTGTACACTCTTCGAAGATCAAAGTCATATACCATTGCAGCCATTGGCAAAATGATTGTCCAATGATCATAGTATAAAGATGTACTTTCATTTTTATTGAAGTAAGAGGACAATCCTGAGAGGAAAGTAGATACAGCTGCTAAGAAGTAAACACAAGCTATTCCACCGTTAAGATAGAACTAATTTGAATGTATGAAAGATGCTTGGACTATCTCTTAAACATCATTTTAGAATTAAGCGTCATTACTGTTCCTACCATCCATATACACTCCCCAGTCATGATGATTTTCCTAATAGGAATCGAACTAGAGAAAGGGCAAATTAGCTTCAAGACAATCTGCTGTGATTAAGTTTCTCAACTCTTCTGAGTAAAGATAATTGAAATCTGTTCCGATGAACTCACCCCTAATACAATAAGCTTAAATATAGCTGTGCTGTTTAAAAATTAGATACTTACTTAACTCCTTCTAACGATAAAGTTTGGCCAACTGGATATCTATTCTCTGCAGGAAGATCTAAATAAGGGTTCTTGAACTGATAAAACTCTACTTCTCCAATGATTTACTAAAATTAGCATGATAAGAATCTCGACAAATAAGTAAGTCTTTTAGTGAAAATGTATTACCTGATTAGTCAATGGATTTTTAGAGGAGGATGGATACTTAGCATGAAATCTACCCACTATTTCATCTCCTTTCTTCTTAAATAGAATCTTCATTATTCCATGTAAGTTAAAATAATGTGAATGACTATTAAAGCTCATCTCTTTTTAATTGGTACTTCTCGTTTTCATCTTAGCCAAGATGAAATTCTTATCAGCTCTGAAAGCCTCTTTTATCATCATCTCGTAAGATGTGCTGAATATAGGATCCACCTCTTTGATATCTAGATATTCTTCAACAAGATCATTCTCGCTGTAAAGCGGCAGTTTATCTTAGCCAATCGATTATGCTGCAACTTCTTGAATTTAGCCAGAATAACCATCTCTCATCTCCCCAATAGTGTTGGAATCAACCATGTTAATTAATTGTAATAATAAAGTTATAATAAAAGTACATGCAAACGTAAGGAATTAATAGAATGACTTTAATAAATTTTAATGAAAGGAATGAATTATTTATGGTATGAGGGAGGGAGTCTTGTCTTCTATTAAATAATTTTCAATCGTCTTCTTGATCTTTACCACTGACAACATCGTTTTCGTGAATATAATCTTCATAAGGATCAATAACTGTACCGTCCCAAACAAGTTGTCTTGGAAGTGCCTTGTATTCTGCTTCGTTTGTAGGTGGCAGCCATGTTGGGTATTCCAAATTTAGATATTACTTATCAACCATTTTAACGGCATCTCTGATTCTTACTAGAGCTGAGATAGGACCTGGGACGTTTCCTTAGATGTAAAGTAAACTTCTATCAACATCGATCTTCACTACCATTTGATTCTAAATAGTACAATTTATATTTCCCAAGTGGCCTGCCATCTTTTTACCCTTAAAGACCTTACCTGGATATTCTCTGTTACCAATGGAACCTGCGTGTCTATGTGAGACTGAGTTACCATGACTAGCATTTTAACCTGAGAAGTTCCATCTCTTCATGACTCCTTGGAAACCTTTACCTATTGAGACTGATTTAACATCAACAAGCTAGCCAATTTTAAAGTGTCTAGGTCCAAGCATGTAACCTGGAGGCAAGAAGTTCTCATCGGTGACTGGGAACTCAGCAAGATCTCCCTTTGGCGGGAGATTGTGTTTTAGGTAATGACCAGCTTATGGTTTTTTGAGATTCTTCATTCTCTCTTCTCCACATCCTACTTAAATTGCATTCACACCATCTTTTTCGAGTGTCTTGACCTGTGTTACCTGACATCTGTCGATTTGAATCACAGTGCAAGGAACTAAAGCTCCCCATTTATTCCAAAAATGAGTCATACCCATTTTATATCCAATTAGCCCCACTCTTCTTGATTCTCTGTTTGCTGGAGCAGTTTTGATTAAATTCTTATTGAAATTGGCATTAACTTGGTCCTCGAAGGAAGTAAATGACGTTTTCTTGTTAGTGATCCCATGCACATTAGGATTAATAAACCTCTAGTAATCTATGATTTTTTGTTGAGCCAAGTTCTTGTGGCCGAGTTCTCTGATCTAGGTCATAGTCATATCCTCAAGTTTCATGGTTGGCTAAACTATATGCTAAGAGAAGAAGAGTGATTAGTTGTAAACAATGACTTAAGTGTTTTGAAGTAATCGTCTCTTGATTATTTAAGACAACATCTTTTAAGTATATAATAATTTATTAACTGTGAGTTTATTTTTATATTTCTCAAAGAATACTAATCTAAAGACTATGGGGTTTTGGGGTTTTGGGGTTTTGGGGTTTTGGGG